CCAGAGACGTTCCGGCTTAGTGCCGGTAAAATAGTAACGTGTGTCAGGAACGTTTCTCCACACTATGCCGAATCACGGGCTCTTACTAACAATTGTATTTATCTTCGTAGCTACCAGATCACTGGGAAACAGGAAAAAGGGGACAACCCTTCCAGCATCTGTTGTGATTGTGGGGGGTACGCAATTTACGTGTTCATTTTTTACAAGCTGCAATTCGTGCTAGCGGTGAACTTTATATTGGCAGTCATAGATTCCACTGCTCAGAGACTTTCCTGGCACACTATATTATGTAACATGTACGCGAAGTAAGTGATTCACACACGAGTCGAGTTTGTCACCCCCCTGCGTACGCTCACTCGGCAAAAGACGACCGTTCAAATCACCTTGCGCACGTTTTGTACTCTTCTTAACACCGTGAGTGTGAAATATGTTTAGCACCCGCTTCAAAATGTTTCTTAAACCCTAGGTTAGAAAGAAAAAATAGGTGTTTCGCACACGAAAAACAAGCACGAGAAACCGTGCTCCGCGCACGGCTTGTTAAAAAAAAAGCTTTTTAGACATGTTTATGTATTGCCTCCACAAAACATAATCATAGTCAATGTGTGATAAACGCCTAAAGATCTACTCGTATTGTCTTGTTTGACGAACCTTCGAAGAAAGAAGTATTTCATGTCACCCCACGCTCTTTGTAGATTCGTCGAACAAGGACGATTTTTCGAAGAAAGTATCGATAGAATTTCACATCTCTTGCCCCATTGCCATCCGTGTTTTCAGTCAAATATTGCATAACAAAAAAGGACAATTTTAAAACATTTTAATTATTGATCTTTTCCGATAAATTGCAGTATTCGTTTCTTCCGTGAAGGAAATATTCTCCCCATCTCAATATTCTAATGAAGTCGATATAAAAAACAAATATTATTAATTTTAGGCAGAAACAATGGCTAAGTACAAAATTATTGCTATAAAACAGTACAACCCTGAGAAAGTTTAAACATTTATAAATCTTTACGATATTTTATTTCACTACGCATTCAATTTAGAATGCATTTTGTTTACAACGATGAAAATAACATCGTGCCGTTTTCATTATTATGTTAATAATGTAGAATAATAACTTCACTGAATAATAATTATACAGTTAACTAATGTTTTTTCATAGAACTAGTTCATGATTTTATGAAAATAAAATACCTGCGAAAAATATTCTGGATTATGATCGAAATAACTACCGCATATAGAGAGAGAATTTTTATATGTAATAACTTCAAAAACATTATTCAGTAAACTGATCGTTTATTTTTCCAGTAATTTGCCTACTTAAGTAATGAAGGTACCTGCAAGAATTCATTCAGAACCTTCCCCCACCTGTTTGGATAAGGCCATAACGCCTGCCGTGCAGGCACCACGAATACGCTTGCGTGTGGCAGATTGCCTACCCAGAGGCGTTCATACGTTCATTTGGAACTGATTACTTCTTGTGCCATATCTCTAAGGAGGAATTACCCAAGAATTATAGATACCAGGTTCATTGCTTCCATTGGTAATCATATGAGTGGCAATTAAGATAATTAAATGGTGTCCGTGAATGTTTTCCGTTGGCTTCCACGCCATATTCAACCACAGGGTGAACTAGTGATGCCACAGAATTGCAGTCTTTCGCGTAGTAGGTAGTTTCCTATTCTGTTGAGTCTAGGGTAGCTTCCCGGTTTTTCTATACCGCCTTCCCAGCTGTCATTTATTTGCGCCTAGCATGGCCTCTCCCAGATATAGCTCCTGTAAAGATATCCCCATTGAAGAGAACCTTCGCGCCCCCGAGCACTGCGTAGAAATTAACCTGTACATACTTGAGAACTGTACCTACACATACCTGGGCACACCTTCTACAACCCCTTTCTTACGAGATCAACTAAATCGATAGTAATGTTTGTGAACATATTACAATTGTAACATGTAATTCGTTTTATAAAACTACTCGTAATAATTTCAATAAAACTATCCTTATACACACGGCATTAAATGTTTTATCGGCTTTGGATCTAGGCTTTTTCGTTGCTTTGACACTACACTACTCGTTTCCACAGCAACAAGTTTTGCTTCAAAATCTATCAACATGGCACACCGGGATAAATAATTTTGTCAAAATTAACTGACTGCAAAAATATTGCAGAACTAATATTTACAAGTTTGTGTTAGCACAATCGTTTTGTTACTTTTATGCAATATTTATATTGTTTTAATATATCTATTTAATTACATACCATCGCATTTGTTCACTTATTTCAAATTTGAATGACTTATATTAATGGAATGAAAATATTGATTTCTTATCATTGAAGAGTTTAACGTAATTTGGTGGCAAAACATTGATAAATTTTGAAATTTTTTAAAAACTGACCTTTGAGCCTTTCTGAAAATGAACAATTTTTAGTTCATTTGCAAGTTTTTTTGTTTTTGAGAAATTACATTAAAAATTATTTGAAGTGCTTGTACTCACAAATACAATATATTATAAGACGCTTGTAATATAAATATTAACGAGATGAGAGACTAAAAAAATTACATTTTGATTTTTTCGAAAAACCAAAAGAATACAACCACAAGAATACATACCAAATGTGATTGTCATTATTATATTCAATTAGCACTACCCACACCAAGAAAATGTTTTACACCGTGTTTGAGAAAATCATGTTTCTCAATTGCCCATATTTCACTCAAAATTACGCAAGCATTAGTATTTTTTTACTGTACAAGATAATAAATAAGGAACTAATTGTGTAAAAGGTTTCATTTGAATAAATATATTTATCTTCAACGATGTTGTACGAGAGTTCAAAAAATGTATTTTTTTTCGATTTTCGAAAATTAAGGGGAAACAAAAAATCTGTGTATACCAAAAAATAATCAAATTTTGTATACCTATAAATATATTCCTGGACATTTAAGTTAAATGGATGCATGTGAAATGTAACTGTTATGCTGAATTGTTGTCACTACTGTAAGATGATTGGAAATATTATATTTTTCTACTGTTGTATTGCAGTTGTAACTGTATTATAATTGTAACAGAAACTCGCTAATAGCCACGACGTTGATGCGACGAAAAATAAACTTTAAAAAATGTCATACAAGAAATATAAGGGAAAAATTTGGAGACATTTTGAAGAATGTTCCATATGTTCATGAAAAGTATCCCTAAAATTTAAGTAATTAATTTCAAACTCACAGGGCCTTAAGTCGGGCCATATCGATCGGGAAGAATTCATTTTTTTTAAATCCCAATAAATGGTTTGCGCATTGATATTGTCCAGGAACACACACAAAAAAGCGTTTTGCCAAAATATTTTTTTTGTATCCAGGGACCCTAAAACGTGTACTTTAATTAAAATCTCTAAATATATTTTCTGAAGCACTAAAATTATATACTACGTATATTACTCCCTATATACGTACGTACTCGAGAAAGAAAATAAAAACGCTCATACCAACACGATCGTGGGTGACAGTGAGCCGTAATCGTCACACAACTAATTCTATTTGGATAGGCGGGGTGTTTTATAAATTTAAATATAGCGGCACGATACGTTTACTTACCTATAGGAATGTACTTGTAATTCTTGAAATGGATTGGTAATTCTTTGAAGATCCCATCGAGAGATTGAGACGTGTGACTGTTTAAGGAAGATATTTGTCCTTATATTTCAAGTGATCTAATATAACCAACAATGAATGTTAATCCATGTTGTATTTAAAGATCGTATTATATCATTCTGGCCAAAATTATCCAAGATTTTTGAGCAAGCAAACCCATAAAGAGTTTACAGACAAAATCGAGAACGGTGTGAAAAGCAGCCGGAGCGTTGAATTTTGTAGTTGTACACGTAGGCTTCCGCGGCTCGAATCCATTACTTCTAGGCTGTCCGGGTGACGCCGCGTCGTTGGCAGATAGGCCGACGTTTCGCCTGTCATGTCGCAGGCTTCTTCCTACTACCCTGAAGAAGCCTACGACATGACTCCTCCTCACTACCCTGAAGAAGCCTGCGACATGACAGATGAAACGTCGGCCTATCTGCCAACGACGCGGCGTCACCCGGACAGCCTAGAAGTAATGAATTTTGTAGATATCCACACAATGACTCGTCTCACAAAAACCATTCTCCCTCCACTCAGAGTTTCTAATTTTAAAATTACCTTTGTTTGACTTATCCACCATTCCTGTTTATTTCAGAATTAGGGTTTTCCTATTTGCGGAACCACACTTGTGAAATTGATTTTGTGATGTCTGTTCTGAATTCGAGTTTTCTTTCGAGTGAGCTAGAATTCCGTCAGCGTCAATTACTTAGATTAGTCCTGTAATTGCAACGCATGTTATATCCGGGAGGTAGCGGTGATTTCTCCCGCTGGATGGCGAGATCCGGCGCCGACCGACTCGGTGGCTTACGCGGTATTCCTCCTCCAGGTATCTCTCCCTCCACCTCAGCCGGAACAAGCTTTAAGCTCCCGACTGGTCTCGCGGCACGTTGTAGTAAGTGTAAGTGTGTATGTATATGCGTAAGGAGAGGAAGGAACAAGAATGAGAAAGAAGAGCTCTCGTAGCACATATTGATAAAAAACACTGAGAGCTGACTGTCAAAGCAGCTTCTTCACAGAAGTGTTCCTCACACGTGGTTGAATTCGACGGGCGTGGTGTCCACCATAGTCTGGACTCGAACCCAACGACCTCCAGATCAGCTCCCTCCTCTTTGTATCGATCTGCAATTATTATGTACGTGTTTCTCTAATTATGAAATATTGCTTTTCTTCTTTGTTGTGTCTACTTAAACTTACGATAATATGTTTGTTTTCCTTCACTTTTCTCCGTTCCTTTTTTTATCACGTTTTACGAGCCTGCCATTTTAACAGCATTTAAAAGACTATTCTCAAACAATTTCGTACACGTTCATCATTTCAGCTCTGTTGGAAGTCTCAGCGGAGCGTTGGCGCTAACTTTGTTGCAGTCCTTCGGTGTACAACCTCCCCCTGGAGTACAACAAGCTGGTGGCCGAGTGCTCGCGAAACCGCACGACGGCGCACGAGGACGACGACGTGTGGATCTGCAAGCCCGTCGGCCTCAGCCAGGGGCGCGGCATCTACCTCTTCCGGGTGAGCGCCTCCCACCCACGACACACCCCGTATCCGACCACCCCGACGACACGCGACACACGGACACACCACGCGACACAACGCGAACACACGCGAACACCACACCGACCACCCCTCCCCCCCGACAACCGAACACACCACCCGACACAGCCCCCGACACACCGACCACCGACACACCCACCCGACACACCCCCGAACGAACCCGACATCACAACACCCGTACCCACCGACACCAAACGACACACCCGACCACCCCGACACACGACACACCCAGATCCACCCGACACACCCGACACACCCGACACAACCGCGACACAACCCGACAACACCGACACAACCACGACTCCAACCCGACACCGACCCACCCGACACAGACACGCGACACACGCGACACACGCGAACACACGCGAACACGCGACACAACGCGACACACGGACACACGCGTATCACACGCGACACACGCGACACAACGCACGCGACACACGCGACACACACGCGACACACGAGACACAACAGCGAAGAACGCGACACAAACACCGCGACAACACCGATCAACACACACGCGACAACACGCGACACTACCGCGAACAGAACGCGACACACGCGAACACAACGCGACACACGCGACAACAACACGCGCACACGCGACACCCACGCGACACCTACGCGACACACCACGCGACACACGCGAACACACGCCGACACAGCACACACGCTGACACACGCGACACACAACCGACACACACGCGACACAACCGCGACACCCACGCGACACACGCACACACACGCGACACCACACCGCGACACCGCGAAAACCGACCACCCGACAACCCGACCACACGAAAACCCCCCGCCCGAAAAACCCCACCGACCACCCACCACACCACCGACCCACCGACCACCCGAACCACGACCCCCGACCACCCCCCGAACCACCGACACACCGACACCGACACCCGACACACCCGACCACCCGACCACCCGACCACCCGACCACCCTGCGACACGACAAATTGAACATCACGCGCGTAATAGTTTTTTAATGCAACGTATGCCAGAGCACTAATGAAGAATGCCCGCCGAGTACTAATGAATAGTACACAAACTTACGCCATCATGAGACTTCTTCCTGTGATATTTTCAAAATAAACAATGAACTAAAAAATAAATATTCTTTCGGGTTTGAATTTCTGGATTGTTTATTAAAGACTGCCACTATACACCCCTTAAATCACACATTTAATGCATCCTTATGCACTAGAACATATACAGATTTTTCAAAATACCGAATATTTAACCGCTCTTCAAAAAAGTCACAAAAATTAAATTCAAAATTATACCCCAATTTTTGTCATTTTTTTTCAAAAATATTGAAAATACTTGTTTACGTACGACGGTAAACCTTTCGCAGAAAATGAAAAAGCGTTTTTAGATTGCCAAAGTAGATTTACAAAATCAAAATCAATAGCCAAATTTTCTTCTCTTAAATATATCACTGTATCAGTAAATTAAAATGAAGCACTTATTGGAATATTTATAAATCGTTCAATAGTATTTCATGACACTGATGATATTTTACTTTCAAAATTAAGAAATGAATATCCAAAATTAACAAAAAACCTTTTTTTAGTTTTTCAATTTAGTAAAACATCAAAAGGAACGTCCATTGAAATTAATTTAACACAAAATTAAGTTCATCGTGTTACGCGATCAGAATTATTTCAAATTCGGTCATCCTTCGTACTGCTCGTTGTGTATATTTCAAGAATATTCATTCCCGCCTGAGATATGACATAATATTCTTGGGAGAGACGTCATGTAGATCCTAGACTTTTAGATTATAGAAAAGGATTGTATGAATAATAATCGAATCTCACCTACTAACTATTGTAAACCTCTTTACTTATATAAGAATTCTACAATTTCCATTCTACGAACCAGTGGGTTTTGTGAAAAATGACTTGCTCAAGGGTGGGAACATAATGTCGATGAAATCGATACACAAGTTTAAGAGCCAAGTAAAATATTTTCCCTTGATTAAGTGTTTGAATACAAAATTAAAAACTATGCCGAGCATCAAAAAGAAAGTAGTACTGATTGTAACAATAATATTTAATGAATTAATTACCATTTGGACTGTTCAATTCCAAAAGTCTAAAATGCCGGTAACGAATTTTGTACCTTTGCTTCTCAGTCAATGGTTATCACGGATAACAGGTTTTCCCCCAGTTTCTCCGATTCGTTGAGCGAATGCTGAGATGCCCCTTGTTTTTCGTCTGAACAAAAATACATGTATTCCTTCACTTTACAAATTAATAAATAGTTAATTAATAAATGAATAGTTAATAAATACTAGATAAGTACTAGATAAAAAAATAAATACTAGAGAAATCATTAATTAATTAATTAATTAATTAATTAATTAATTAATTAATTAATTGGTAATACTAGGAGCAATTTCACAGTTTTATGGCGGGAGGTAATCACCTGAATACAATACACACCGTTAAATATCTTAAATTTGTTTCCTTTTTACAAACCCTTTGAGTATGAACACTATAGGGAGTGATATTTCACAGAATTCTTTATATAAACGTCATATATTCTACAGACAAATTAATGGTGTCGCCTATTAGTATTTACTAAATATATTCAACAAATCAAGAGATGTTTTTATAGAGATTGAAATGTGCGTACCTAATTTGTAGGTTGGCAATATATCCACGGATTGTTTATTGTATGCATTATAATGATCGCATTCATTAAGTAAAATAATCATAAATATTGTTTAATACCTTAAGAAGTTGTCATTAAGGAAAAGGAACAAATGATATAAAACTTCCAAAATAGAATGGGTTTCTTGGCGGAAAATTCCTGGTCATATAACGTCGACGTGCGTATTTTGAGTGTCTTTTTAACATTACATTTTTTTAAATTACATTAATTACATTAAATTACGTTTCTTTTAAAAAAACCAGTAACAATGTATGAAACAACTATATTATACAATAGAATCTCTTGGCTTTATCAATATTTTCATTTCTCGTAATCATTAAAGGATGGAAGCAGCGTTCGTCAGCTAAGCCATCATTTTTCAGTTCTTCAAACTTACAAAATTTTACACAGCACTGTGTCACTATAGTGTAACACCATTCCCATGTATGAATAAGATTGTTAAAGTTATGAATCCATAATTAAATGTGTTTACAGGATCACCATTGTACGCCAACTCTGCGATTCATTTGAGTGCTTTTTACGTCATTAACGAAATCACATCTGTTCCATGTTGCAGAGATTGAGCGAACTCACGTACGACACCAACACGATCGTGCAGCGCTACATCCGCAACCCGCTGCTGATCGGCGGCTACAAGTGCGACCTGCGGCTGTACGTGTGCGTCACGTCCTACCACCCGCTCGCCATCTACTTGTACCGCGAGGGCCTGGTGCGCTTCTCCACCGACAAGTTCAGCCTCAACGACCTCGACAACCCCTTCTGCCACCTCACCAACTGCTCGCTCAACAAGATGGGGCCGGGCTACTTCGAGAAAAAAGATCGCGTCGGCTCAGGTAAGGCCGAATTCCTCTTTAATGCCACCGAGGCCATTTCCTTCTGAGAGTGAAATACACGTTGATTTGTTGATTATATTTCGTTTACCTAGGTTTTATGTCTAAGTGAAACTTTATTTCACTATTAGTAAACTGCAGAAACAAAATTAAATAGATATTGAATGTTATATTTATATTATTTAACTAACTACGTGTCTATTTATCATTTATGGATAAATGAGTACAAAATCAAACTATTATTCTTAATGAGCGAAACGTTCAAAAACTTTTAAGATATTTCTTACGAAAACGAAAAATAAATTAGTTACAAACATACTCTAGTAACAATAATGTTATAGTTGTGAGTATTAAGTCTTGCTCTGACAATATTATTGATAAAGTTCTTCTTACGTTCCTTGTAGTATGCCGAATTCCGTTCCTTGGAATATCGATACTCTATTTTGTTAATTCTATTTGTCATTTGTTTATCATTATTTCATTATTTGTCATTTCACAATCGTCTGTCGTACATTTCTTATTAAACATTAGTGGAATCATTTTGTAAACTAGTGTTAAATTCAAATATATCGCCAAGTTATTTTGAATAAAACAAAATTTGAAATACGATCGTCAGTATTGTTAAACATGTACTTTAGGTCTATAAATATTGGAAGGCTGTCTTCACACAAAATGTGTGGTACTTGAAAACAGCTTACGGCATTTCACGTCATGAAGCCTCTTCTTCCTTATATTTCCATACCTTTCGGTCGATGGTATCTCATCGTCCGTTAAGCTTTCCAGCCACTAATCTTGTCGTAACTATTGTTTGCATAATCCATTAATCTGTGGCGAATATGAAAATATTAAAATAATCTACTTATCGATGCAAATCACCTGTATAATATCACCAAATAAATTAGTAGTTTCTCTAATACGGAAATCAAGATGCGAGTTGTATGATGGCGATAACGAGATGTGAGGAGGAGGGAGCGCGGCGGCGAGAGCGTTGGCCAAGGGCGCGTCCGTGGCAGGATGCAAGTGGACGCTGAAGCAGCTGCGCCACTACTTCTCGCAGTCGGGCATGGAGGACTGGCTGCTGTGGCAGCGCGTGGCGGCCATCGTGGTGCTGACGGTGCTGACGCAGGTGCCCTTCATCCCCAACTCGCCCAACTGCTTCGAGTTCCTGGGATTCGACATCCTCGTCGACTCCTCGCTGCGGCCCTGGCTGCTCGAGGTGAGTGAGTTCTCTCGCACCATTTTTTTTTAAATTTTGGTTTAAAAAAGTTTTTTTTTCTGAAAAAAAGCTCGACCGTTTTTTATTAAATATTGTTGTCCGATAGTCTGAAGGGCGTTTAAGAGATTAGTGTAGGTCTCATGTTGGTTAAAAACCTGATTTTTTTTTAATTGAAAAAATTCAAAACTTGTTTGGCGTCTTCCTACAACTACAGTTATGAAAATATGTGATAAATTTGTTTCTTTAGTGAAATGTGTTCATCAATAACATCTTTAAATACGGTCAGGTCACGAGTATTTTTTGCAAAATTTTGTGTCAAACAAGGGGCAATTTTTATTTTCTATAAACCACCTTTTCTTAAAAACCGCACGGTTTTCGGTTAAATTAGGAACTTAGATAGCAAAAATGACGCTTAAAAGAATGATGCATGCCTCATGGTCATTGAAATTCGTGATTTTGCGAAAATTTAAAAAGAAATATTTCGGCGTCTTTCTACATCTACAATTATGATGATACATTTTTTCTTAATGAATTGTGTTTATAAAAAGCATATCTTCAAATAAGATTGTGTTGAATTTTTTTTTAAATATTAGTATTTTTGTGTAATTTCGCGACAAATAGTCGGCTCGAATTGACTCCGCTTCGTTTTCGGAGTCTTCTTATAAGTACAACTGTGAAAATAAATTTCTTAATGAAGAGTGTATATCAAAAATAGATCTTCATATAAGGACGTGTTCAATATTTTGAAAATGAGTTTTTTGTAAATTGGCTACAAAATGAAATGCCCGCTGCGTTTTAACTCCTCCTTTAAAAGAAAATGAAACATTTAAGAATAAACTTTAAATATGTTGGAGACATGGCGAAAAATAATTGTGTGTATTCGAAACAAACAAAATGTTGCATGAAGAACGCCTTATAACAACTTTCATAAAACCACAACGATGCAAACTGAAAAACAGTTCCATTTTAGCAAAAATGGCGCTTTTAGTAAGAATTTATAAGAAAATATATGCGCTTTGCTGCCAGCGCTCATTGACTGTGATGCGTTGATATAAACGGAAATTCATATATGTATATGTATAAGTATATCATTACATAACCTTTACTAAAAGGGGGGAAAGTATGTGTTGTTTAGTACCAGTAGTTACTATTAGCTCCCTAGATGCTAGATTATGCAACACGCAATACTTTCGTGTACTGCTCGTTTAGCTGCTGTTTTGCAAAAGCAATTTCCAAAACCTCGCTAAAAGTGTCCTCTAACTTTACCCGCAAGGCATGTCAATACTGTGGCTATCAAACATTTCTTTTTTAGAAAGACCCTTTAAATATAAATTTAATTTGGTATTCTCTTTTTCCTTTATCTCAATTTAAACGTCCAACTCAGTTCCTGCATAATTCTAAAATGTTTTATATCTTATCGTATTTTAATGAAATTTGCGAGTTGAAAAAGTTAATTTTGCTTCAGGATGAATTGTCGAGGAGAACTCTGATCTGGATCACTCTAGTGCTCTCGCAAATAAAAAGTGAAATTATGTTTTGTCTATAAATGTTTGTCTTATCATCTGAGCGAGTCGAGACGTGAAAACCAATCGCACTTCGTGCATATTTAATGTCATTTCCTGTGCCTATTTATACAAGTAACAACCGTCAGATTTACCTGAGTTGCCGTTATTCATTCCTTTGCGACTTTCGCCTTTTTGTTAGTGCTCCAGGGAAAAAATCTATCACAGCTTTTCGATCGCTCTATGCCATCTATTAGTGTCCTATTAATAAATATCTTAAGAAATACATTTGATGGTTGTTAACGTAACATAAATAACGTGATGGAATATACGTCCATGAATCAAAGAACCAAGTATTTCTACATGATGACGTGATCTATTCCAGGCAGGAGTCTGCCTGATGGTATGCTAAGATACATTGCAATGGAGGGGCGCTAAAACAGTCTGGCAAATAAGAGTTAGAATCGCCTGAAAGTTTATGAAGTTTCTGGAAACAAAAATGTTTAAAGAATATACGAATGACGGTGGTCATTCAGAGGTCAAGATAGAATGCAAGTCAATGGAAAAGTGGTTGACCTTTGATTCGTATTAGTCGGTCAAAAGAACCAGTGGGGCCGAGGACGTTTCAGAATCGTGCAGTGGCGCAGCTTCATTTGGTGTCACTCGGGGCAAAACTAGTGGTATTACCTGCCCCATAAATTAAATATAATAAGTATTACTGACTTACTGAGTTCATACATTATTTATTAAAAATACAAGTAAATTTGCACATGATACTTATTTAAAATATAATAAAAACTGTATGTAGTTCAGAATTATTTAAATATAATTTTTAAATAAATAATCTAAAACGAAGTATAACTATATGTTTTTAAACAGGTTTAAATAAATCATTAAAATTATATAATTGTCATTAAAATTTTCTAATTGGTGTCACCCCTAAAAGATGTCACCCGACGAGGACCCCCCTCGCCCCTCCCTAACCGCGGCCTTGGAGCCGTGCGAACCGCGAAGGAGGAAGCGCATTATTCGGCGACTTGAGTGCAGCAGGCCGAGAAGACCGTCCGGCGAGTGCCACCCGCGTGCCACCCGCGTGCGCAGGTGAACCTGAGCCCGGCGCTGGGCAACGACTGCGACGTGGACCCGGCGGTGAAGAAGCCCATGCTGCACGACCTGTTCGACCTGCTGGGGCTGCCGGTGCGCAACACGGGGCTGTCGCTCTTCACCATGTGGGACAGCCCGGCGGCGCCGCAGCCGGCCGCGCTCACGCAGCGCGCCGCGGGCAGCCGGCCCCCGCGCGGCGCGCAGGCCGCCGGCGACCCCACGCTGGCCGTGGTCACGGCCGCGCAGCACTGGCGCCACCGCCACCACCAGAAGAAGCAGCAGCAGCAGCAGCGCACCGCCGCCGCGCACGCCTTCCGCTGCGCGGAGGACGACGACGATGACGAAGACCCGGAGGTACCCCCCCCCGCTCGCGCCATCTAAAGGCCCGTTCGCGACGCACACATTGCGCATGGCCTTAGCATAAAGGTTAGGACTCATCCACAATGCGTGCGCATAAGCATAACACGTACGACGTTAACTTAAAAGCTTGCAAGATTCTGAGCGTATGCTTAAGTAAGACATAAGAAATGAACCAATCTCAGAACGGTAATTCAGAATCGAGAATCGAAATTGGAGCGAAGTCGATAGAAGAACGAACGCCCTATGAGCCATGGACACAGTCGATACCTCAAAATCGATTCTCACAACCAACCAATAGAAAACTGTAAAGTCTCACAGCCAATAGAAACTCTTTATTTTGCCTAAGTTTATGTTAGATATTGTGAATACTTCAGTCTATCGCTTATGTTAATGTTTACGTCTATGCGCTATGCTTATGTTAACGTTTGCATTGTGAATGGGCCTTAATGGTGCAACCTACACACACGTCACGGCGCGACAGGATCGTGGGGGATCTCACAGGGCGCGAAGTGATGCGAATATGTGCGAATAGTTAAAAACAATGGCGCTGTTCAAAGCACGAGAGTTATGTCTGTCTGAAAATAAGTGCTATTAAAATGGGAGGTGTCAAGTCTTAAGCGAAGAGAGCGGACGAATTCAGTGACGTTCAGAAGAGAAGGCAGGTGGGGCAACTTGAGTCATCATCCCGACCGAATTGAGGACCCGACTTTTTTATTCAAAAGAAATCAAAAACATATTTATTTCTGATCTAAATATAAGTTATCACTTAAAAGTTATTTCTGATGCATGGCGAAATGAATTTTGCTTATGAATTGCGGAGAATGCGGCAGTCTTTTTTGTAATAAGGAGTCTCCATGGATTAACTGCCCCAGACCCCTGGTATTCTTTGGGCGCTACTGGATGAATACTGTGTGTTCAGGGAGACAGGAGCACGGGGAAATTCACCATATACTTCACAAAATAATTCAAGACATTAAAAAAGGTTTCACTGTATGAATAGAAAACTTAGAAATGTATGTATTACGAATACATAAAAGTGTGTACTATTAAGTACTATAAAAATGTCCATTGCCTCGAGAATTTCTTCCCACATTTTGGTAATAACATGTTTGTTCAATGGCGTTTGTATTCATTGAGTCAAATTGGCGCCCTCGAAAACATTTAGTTAATTCTCACTTCGCCTTCCATGATCAATTCATCATACACCGGTAGAATCAGATCGCGGACAGTTCCCGCAAATTCGCGAAAAAAAATCACACTTCACTGTTCCTAACCACGTCACTTGGCACATGCTCGTGGTCATAGACGTCCATGAAATCGCTCTTGCCGCCCACCGTCGCGTCCATTGTGATCTTACCATTACACGAACGCTTTTAATGCTTTTCCTTCCTCGTTGCGCACAGAGGAGTTACTCTAAGAAGGGACCAATTTGGCAGGTCGGGAAACCAATGAACGTCCTGCAGTAGGATGACATTGCGAGGAATAGAAATGAAGGCATTGACAAATGAAATAACTTTAAAAGAACGCACAGACAAAATAAGTGCATGGACGTAATCTGCAGTTATGTGGCCAGCAGTGCCACTTCTTAAGCGGTCCTTTCTTATAGTAACCTCTCTCTTCTCTAACCATTGAACTTGTTGCTTTTGGCATTGGAGCGGGGAAGTGATTGTCGCGGGTGGTGTGCTGCAGGACGACGACAGCAGCGGCGGCCGCAGCCCGGCGGGGCGGCAGGCGCGCGCGCTGGTGGCGGCGCGGGGGCCCGGCGCGCACGCGCACGCGCACGCCGTCGCGGGGCGGCGGTGCGGGGGCGGGCGCCGGGCGGGCGCGGCGCAGTCAATCCGGCGCGGGCTGTCTGCGCGACGGTGGGCGCGTCGTCGGACGGCGTCGTCGCCCGTCGCCCGGCGCCGCGTCGCTCGCCGCGCGCCTTTGCGTGACGGGCGCTCACGTCACCTCGCGCCAGCGACGGCGTCGCCTGCCGCGCGCGCGAGCGCACTCTCGCGCGACCCGCGGCTGCTGGGCGGGGGCGGAGGCGTGGCCGCCGCGCGCCGCCCTCCCCTCTCCCGACGCCGGCGCCGCGCCCGCCGCCGCCGCACCCGGCGCTGCCGCGTCCACGCCCGTGCGCCCTGTGCGCCGCAGCGCGCGAACTCGCAGTGGCGAAGCGCGCCGGCCTGCAACGCGGCCGGCCCCGGCCGCGGCCCCGCCCGCGCACTCGCAAGCGCGAAGCAAGTGTAGCGCCTGCCCTAGAACGAATTAGACGAATTCGCTCGTTTTTCTTCCATTTAATCTTAACTTCCCCCTACGGCCCCTGCGGCTCCACACATTCGGCATTCGCCAAGTTGCGAGTGACAGCTCGCCCGATCCCGAAAAGCTGATGTGCTCGGTCAATGTTCGCCTCCTTTGATGTGTGCAAAAAGACCGATAAGCGGTGGGTAGGGCAAGTACCGAATGTTCGTCGCTCGGCAAATAGCCAACGACCCATTCCACTCTCCGCGGGATTCGGGGAGCGGTCGCTTGCTACTCGCCGTATAGTGAATGTGTGGAGCCGCCTTTATGCGAAAGTGCGCACCAGCGCGTTTACCGTTCAGGGTAAAATACAGTGTTAATCTACGACGCGCGTTACTTACGTTTCAAACGTGCGTCAACGTAACGCTTGTGCGATACAGACTTAGAAATTGTTAGAAAGGCATATTTTTTCACGAATTAGTGTGTCTTAATAGCATTTACGAAATTGCATAATTCAATTACACGAAATAAAAAGCTCTTGTCCTATAGCAGATTAACTTCGCTACCAAAATTATATTGTTTGTTGTGCTCATAAATTTAATCGCGCACCAAACGTCTGCTATTTCAGGCCCCAATACTATTTTAATTAGAACGTTTGTGTAAAATAATTGTAGGAAAATACTGTTCTTCCACATCACCAATCCGAGGCCTTCTGTTACCCAATCATTTACAAGGATAACACAATGTTTGGATGGATCAATGAAATCTAGTGATGAAATAAATTATGATTCGCAGTACAGAACGAGGCATTTCAAGTAGAAAACACACCAGCATGTTTCTCGAAATATTGACAGTAAATAATTCCTTCACTGTTTTTGGCCTCAGCATACATTCGCCTTCTTTTTATTTTCATAACCTGTTGTATATCATTGTAACAATACGTGCATTTCCAATACTTGAAGCGAGAGGTGATTAGCAAAACTCAGTGAGTGCACTGCAATTTTAGCGGCTGGCTAGCAGGCTAATGTTTCGATCGCCTCAAATCAGGCACGATCGCAAAGCCACGCGCGATAACGCAGTATTTTATTTGCACTCGAATTCTGTCAGTCCATCAATTCGAGTTCGTATCCCTTTGCTTTATTTCAAACAATTCTGCATTTTGACTGGAAACTTGTTTGTTACTCTGTCAAGACCAAATGCATGATTACAAATGGAATTAATGTTGCTTGAAATCTCTGTAAACTACATGAGTAAGAAACTTGTAGTTTCTTTTTATTCGGCTGCGCGTTTTAGTGTTTCTGTTTGATGTAACGCGTGCCTTGTCTGGGAGTGCACCGTCCCGTGCGGCTGTCGGCAGGACGTCGGGCAACGCGGCGCAGTGGGGCAGGAACGTGGACCCGCTGCTGATGGACCGGCAGCGCATGCGCGCCGTGGCGCAGCGCGGGCGGCTGGCGCAGACGGCGCTGTGGGGCAACGGCAAGGACTGGGCGTTCCCAAGCGCGCGCGAGGGCGACTGGGTGCGCGTGTACCCCATGTGCGACCCGGGCCCGTACCCCGCGGGCGGGGCCGGCGGCGGCGGTGGGGGCTGCTTCACCGGCCCCAACGGCTACGTGGGCGGCGCGGGCGAGGGCACGAGCGGCGCCGTGGGCGACCCGGAGGTGCGGCGCGCCGTCGCCGAAGTCAACCGCATGCTGCGCGTCGCGCGGGAGGTGGCGCGCAAGTACAGCAACTGCAACGACAACGACCGCAGCCGGGCGCTCTCCGACCACATGACGTTCAACGGGGAGGTGTGGCTGCCCCGCAAGTGACCTGGCCCGGCCGGCCAGGTCACTTTATCTTCCCCCTGCTGAAGGCAGCGGCGTTGCCACTATCGCTGTTTTCGTTGCAATTGCGGTCCCTTTTAACATGTACGACTGCCTTTACATTTATCTGTCACTGCCAATATCACGTCCGCCACTGCTTCCGTCATTGCCTCCGCCTTCAACACCATTTCCCACACCTTCGTCGCCCCGTCCTCCATTTCGATCGGCGCCGTCATTGTCCATGTGAGGTCAGCGGTATCGCCAAGGCAGTTCTCCGCTTTTGGGGAAGGAGCAGTGAGTGAACAGAGAAACTTACTACTGAATCTGTACCAAAATAACGATCAGTAAAACCATTTGGACTCGAGTAACAGTGTTGTACTATATGCATCCAACGGCGGAAATTTTGTGTACGACCATATTGACGCTAGTTTACTCGTTCCAGTAATTTGTTCAATTTTCAACTTCGCAAATGTTTTCCAATACCATTTGCATTGTGACGAAGAAAATTCTGATTTTTGTCATCCCCTACTTCCATGCATTTCTATGAATAGTTTATGGAACTTTAGCCATAGTTCATTTCATGCTCATAGAAATATTTTCTTTTTTTTTATTTTAATGTATCTATACGCCAATGGGAGTTATGAAACAATCATCACAGTTTTAAAAACTGTTAAAGTTCATCCACAGATTTCCAATCAGACGAAATCGAAAGTAGAATTGGAAATACGTTCACTAAGTTTACTCCGCCTGCGCCAAAGTTACATTTTGAAGAAATTAAACGAATGCGCTTGTTTCGTTTAATTTAAATTTCTCCTTATTCTTCAGAGAGGCATAATTTCGATATAA